CGGGATCTTCCAGATCCCGGCAAGGATGGCGGCGACCCGTGCACGAGAGATGGAGGTCTTCGATCAGATCCGGGTGAAAACCTGCTATTGGCTATTGCCAAGGCCGGCGATGGCGACGCTATCTGCGTCGTTCCCTTCCTGAAGGCATCGTCGTGGAGATGTTCAAGGCTACTCTCTGCTACCTCCGGGGGAAACCCTAGATCAGTAGATCGGATGGCGGCGGCTCTCTGGTGTCGTCTTCCCCCCTGGGGGCGTCATTCTTGGAGGTGCACACGGACTCGAGGGACTAGAGGACGGCGACGTTGGTGGAGCGGTGCTTCATCTTTCACATTGATGATGGCGGATCTCGGCGGCATGGTGCTGTGGAGACTCGGCGTCTGATGCGCGGAGATGGACTCGTGCAGGAGGAGGAAGCTGTCTGGCGTCATGGGGACGTCGATGACAGACTGGCCAAACAAGGTAGAAGCCTCAATTTGATCTGAAGACGGACCTGTGGAAGATGGCGGCGACGACACACGAGTGCGTCTGACCGGATTGCGTCCCAAACCCAGTATGTGGCTCGGCTGGGGTTACCGAATGAGTTTCGGCTTCCGGCTTTTGATGTTAGGCTTAGGTGAGTGGTTTGGGTAGTGGCCCAGCTAGCACCCCCTCATCATATTGGATAGGAGTAGCGGCACATGTTGCCAAGATGGTGGATTCAGACATATTGTTGTAATACTTTGTATGGTTATCGAGAATAATCAATAAAGTGACCGTATGCATCTCCCAGATGCAGAGGCCGGGGTCATCCTCCTTTTCTAAAAAAAAAATAAAAAAAAATGGTTAGGCTGTGCCAGTACGGTGAATGCGCCAGGGACAGCCCCTCCGCTGCGGCGGCCTCCATGAGGTCCCGGAGTAGCATGCCGCTCTCCACCGTCATGAGCCGCTTATCAGCGTCGATGTGCACCGTCCGGTTCAACCGCGCGGTGCTTATGAGTGTGCCGTCGCGGCCGCCGGGGCACGCGAGCTTGGGAATGCTGTGTGCGTGCGAGGTGGTTACCTTTACCTTCCGCTTTGCGGCCGCCACGGCCGCCACGGCTGCGACGAGCTCCTGCTCCGTCCGCGGGTAGGTGACGTTGGCCGCGGGGCAGAGGAAGAAGCCGACCGTGTTGGTGATGGTGCAGTTGGACGTGCCGTGCGTGCACACCACCGGGTCTGGTGGAGGGCTGCAGCCAGCGAGCTGGAGGAGGATCCCTAGCGCTAGGAGGGCAACTGGGAGGCAGCTTTCCATTCTTCTTGCTTGTCCTTGCGACATCATTGGGGTGGCAACTTGAATGGATACCTCGATGTACTAGGGCTTGTTTGTAGCCAATGCACAAGCTAGGCCTTATATATAGGTATAGGGTTAACTGGTTATGGTCACGGCATGCATGGTGCATTCCTCAGACTCCATAGACTATTATTTGTTTATGAACAGTTCGAATACGTACTACTAGTGGACTTTTGACCGTGGACTGTTCTAAATGAACACTTTTCTAATACCGCGTTAGTGAGCCCAACAAGTTATTTCCTCCATCCCATGAAAAATGTACATATAGAAATTTTATGATAAGTTATGAAGTGAAGTAAAAAATACATTAAAAAGATGCAAACCATCATCTCTCTTCTCTTTAATTATCCAACCCCAATGAGCTAAGTGCATGTATAGAAATCAAGGAGAACATGTGTAGAATGCTATTGATCTTGATTACCGTGTGGTGAGAGAGAAGCATTTTTTTTCTACTTTAAAGTGCATCCGAAAGATAGAAGTACACTCTTTTGTGAACAGATTTTAAACTCAAATGTACACTCTTCACCGGATGGAGGGTACCCGAGAGAGCTTGCATTTTTCTTTTTAGCACATTTGTTGTTGTTCAAGCAACTGAAAATTTAATTAGGTTTGGTTGAACACCTCCACATACGAGGGCTTGTGTCTTGCCACTAGACAAGTTATGTCTTAATAAATACTAGGTCCCAGGTTAAGGTCGCAGCCTGCATGGTGCATTCGTCGCACTCGTGGGGAGAAAATTGTGGCGCAGAGAGAGACGACTTGGGCATTGTGAGCTTACAGGCTAACATCAGGAGAGATATGTCCGGCGATTTTTCCGATTTCCAGGAAATTAGCGATCCTTTGTTGGCGCATGTTGCGACCTCGACGACGACGTAGCCGAGTGCTTTTCTACGCGTACGAAGCTAGCGCGAGGATATTCCGAGCTAATCGGTTCCGTCGGGACGCAGACGAAGACGACGATGTGCGCAAGCACACACGAAGCAGCCTAGCTGCTGTTGGATGGATTCCGTAGCCTAGCTACAGAGTAAAATGCATCTTTGATCCTTAAAGTTGTTGGCGATGTCTATAATGGTCCCGGAACTCACAAACTGCTTCTATACAATCCTGAAACTTGCAAATACGGACTCAGCATGGTCCTCGAAGTTGTCGAACCGGTCCTGGGCTACGGCTCGCGTACGCCCCAGCGTACCGCACCAGCCACGTCAGCTTAGGAGTAGTTCGCGGGCATCCGCCGCGAGTCGTGGACATATTCAGTTATTCCAATTCCAGTCGAATCTTTGCGATCAGGCTGCGGCGGCGTTCGCCTGATCATCGACGACAAGGCCGGCCGGTACCTGAGCGCCCTGGCTAGGGCAGAGTAGGGAAGGGCCTCCCAGCCGTAACTGCCGGCGGCGGTCTGCGGCGCCTATGGGTGCGCCTATACGACGGCTCGATGAAGTGCCGGCGCCGATGTACAGTAAGGCCGAATATTTCGGGCATGAGAACGGTTTTTGTTAAGATTGCAATGTTGTAGCACGAAAATAGAAGCTAGCCATCGTATATGTTGCACTGGTTACTGCAGGATATGCAAGAGTTACAGAAATTGTGGTTTCTCTAACGATTGCATGGCATGCGTAACAGCGTAAGCAGCAGAGGGGTATCCGGTACGCTGGCTATGTTTAGTGGAGATTGGGGAATCAACTGACTGTAGCTCATTGCCATGTACGAGAATTCATGGTTTTCAACTCAATTAGTCTGCTGAGTTTACCCACTTTAGTAACATTCTATAAATGGTTCTGACAATTGCAAAATTTACTAAGTATATTCTTGTTTCATCAAGTGGTGCTGCTATATGAAGTATTATGTGTGCTGATATACTGAATTTCTGAGTATTACTAGTTTAAGGGGAAATGGTAAGGATCAGTACACATCTTCTCATGAGTATTACTAGATGAAGTTTTCTTTTTGAGAATGATTGCACTTTATTCATATAGTAGCATCAGTATTCAGTACACAGATTTTCTCAGAATAATTGCAGTATATTAAACATTTTTATGTAGTAGCAGCAGTACAAAGATTTTCTCAGAATGATTGCACTATATTAAACATTTTTTATATAACAGCATCAGTACACAGATTCATTCAGTTTAGGGTTTATGTATTTATTTGGTTCCTTAAACTGAGAGGTTAAATGTTTAATTGTCCTTTTTTCAGGAAAAGACAGTTCTTTTTTCACTGTGGAGTTGATTCATGGAGGATATTTCCATGGAAGCTGTAGCAACAGGTCATATCTGAATGGTGCAAAGGCTTGTTATGATTTCTGTGATAGTAGTTGTGTATGCATGAAAATGTTTGATGATTTGATAGAGGACATCGGTTATGAAACTGCTGGTAGGATTCATCTGTACTGGTTGCTGCCTGGGTGTCAACTGAATGAAGATGGTGCTAGGTTGCTGTCCAGTGATGAAGACACTGAGAGCATTGCGAGAGTGGTAAAGAATGGGCACAAATTCCTGATGTTTTATGTGGATCATCAGGATAGCTACAATGGTGGGGGAGGAAAAGAATGGGATGATGTAGTTGCTAACCCCATAGCTCATTTACCACTTGTTTCCGGTCCTAAGAAGGCAAGCACCACTGATTCCAGTTATGTTGATGATAGCAATGTCAGTGCAACCATTGAACTTGAAAGCAATGGGC